CATAGCCTAATAAGGACCGGCACCGCTAAGTTCTCAACTGTTTTATATAAATCCTAAGACTTCCTAATTTGTAGCCTACATTACTACCAAAACAATCTGTTTCCAAGCTAAACCGTGACTAAATGAATCACCTCACGGTCAGTAAAAATTTTTTGTCGACTCACTAATCCTTGATACAAACTGCGTCCTATCGTTGATATGTCTCTCTCTTCACGCTTCCCGCTAGCAAATAAAATATTGCTGCTCTGACATGAGTTGTAAGCCTGTGTTTAAATAATATCACGAACAACGTAGAAAACTGTCGGTAGTATTTATAAGCCATTTTTAATCATGGTAAGGAACACAAATTAAAACCAGTCAATGTTAAAACTAACTTTTTTATTTTAAAACACTTAATAAGCGCCTTCATCTTTATTAGCGATGTTAAACGTTTGCATAATGTCTACCAAAAACCAATAAAGAACTATTATGCTGACTAATTTTTTAGATAACATGAAAACAATAAAATATTAGAGAACAGATCCTCACCAAGATTCACAGTATAGAGTCTCTAAAAATGATTGATCTGGACCACGTATTAGTGCCGTAAAGCAGATTCGTAATACATTGCTGCCAATTTTTAATAAAAAACCCTCAATTTGATTGACACATCTACACAATATGTTAAGAAATTTGAATAATCTGCCTGTATGTATCCCGTAAATAGTCTGCCTGCATGTATGGGGACACAAATAGTTTTTTACTTACTTATTTATAAATTTTGGATATATGCCTTATTACATTAATTAATTGGAAAGTAAATAAAAGAAAATACGTCTAATAGTCTAACACTTAAAACATTAATTTACACTTATAATGTTACTGACAATACTGTAAATATACATAAAAGATGGTAAGTGGTCGTCGATTTCGATTCGACACTCCAATCATCCTCAGACCCATAGGCGAATTGGATCATCTCATCATTGGGTTCAGTATGTTTCTTACCCAGCTTTATGTAATGTAATATATGTATCCATGTATATTATTGTCAATAGGTTTAGCCATTGACAGAAATAATTAAATAAATTATTATTTTAAATGATAAACTAGTTAAAACCAACAATAAATTTAAGAAATGTACAAATGATTAGGTTTCATCTAATTAGTATTTTTTTCAGTTTACTATTTAGATCTTTACTGACCGCGAGGCGCAGTTAGTAAAAATCTTGCGGGGAACAAAGCGAGTCCCATTGGTGGTAGATAATGGAAAGCACATTGTAACGTAAGGAAGAGCAAAGAGTATGTTTATAGTGATTTTTAAAGTGTTTATAAAGGCCTAGTGTTATATACCTCAATCTATCAAACTTTCGTTGGTCAAATATGAAGAAATCAAGTATTAAAAGTATTGCAAGTATAACAAGTAAGTAGGTAGAGATTAATTTACCTGAACCAAAACTGGTTATAAAAAAATTATTGGGTTCCATCTAAATAATAATTGTTTTTACTGTTAACGGTTAAGCTTGGATACAGATTGTTTTGGTAGTAAACTAAAAAGTACAAGGCCATAGCATTTGTATAAAACCTTTGAGAACTTAAGCGATGTCGTTGCCTATGACGCGACGCATCGACGGGCGGTGCTGCGCTGCGCGGAAGCCTGCACCCGGTGTCTTTGCCGACAATGCCGACGCCCCACACTACATCAGTTTTTTTCATATGACTAATCAAATATATATTTATAAACCTTAAGAAACATACTAAAGTTTTTGTTTGAAACATTTTGCGTATTTTATTTGGGAAAAAATATATAGAGGGTAAAACAAAATTGTGTACTCTTAAACATAAACATTGTAAAAAAGTTTAAATGTTATATCTCTGTGGATATAGTTTTATAAGAAAATCTTTAGTACAACAATTGTAGATAAACTAATTATAAAAAATACAAACCAAATTTCACTACGATGGCATGCGTAGAATTTGAATTATATCCAGTACAGTGAGCGACTGTAATTTCCAGGTTATGAGGTGGTTTTGGGGGGGGGGGGGGTTGGGGGGGGGGGGGAGAATCGGGAACTTTTAGAATATACACGTCTTAAGTGGTTCCATCACATATAACAAACTCAGCTTTCCACTATTTAGCGACGAAAAAAGGCAGTTGGTGCGTTTATTGGCTGGGCTAGATGCGATGACGCAGCGCAGAGGTGTTCAACTAGCGCGCACGCGCTCACTTTGCCGACGCTCAGCTCTTCACCCGGTCACCTAGATGACTAACCAATAATATATTTGTAAACCTTGAAAAACGTACTAAGACTTTTGTTTGAACCATATTTGCGTATTATTTATATTTAAAAGTATACATAGAGAAAAACAAGATTTTGCACTCTGAAACAAAGCTTTTACCGAAGTTTAAATTCTATATCTCCCTAAGTATTGGTTTTAGAAAAATGTTTTGAATACAAATGTTGTAGGAAAACTAATCAAAAATAAAATAAAACAAATTGCAGCTCGATAGCTTACATAACATTCGAATTATGATCAATTAAGTAAATCACTGCAATTTCTATGTTTGGAGGGGGGTGGGGGGGAAAGCTCAAGGGGTAGAAGTGGGGACTTTTGGGAAAATACACCTCTTATGTGGTTCTATCACATATAAAAAATCCAGCTTTCCACCATTTAGTTGCGAAAAAGGCTGTTTTATTGCATTCATTGACTGGGCTATTATTCTGAGCTATTAATTTGCATTATTGTTAGGTCTAAGACTTGGAGTTATTTTGATATTTAGTTTTTGGGAATATTTACATAGGCCTAAACTTATGATAAACTTAGGCCTATAGCTTACTCTGTTGATTACATAAATGGTCTGTTAAAATGAGATTCTCTACACTAGAGAAAAAGGCAAAACTTGTGAAAAATAGGCTTCAGAAAATAAGCAAGTTTGTGTCAGCCCAAATTACTCTCTCAGAAACTCAATCATTAAATGTTGTTTCCATTCAGCGCTTACACAACTATGATGATGAAGTTAGAGGTTTATTCTCTGATTTTAAAGCTTTATTCGATATTCGGTTTATGATGATCCTGGTTCTGATTATGATGAAACTGAAGCATGCTCTATGCAAGATGAAATTTCGGACTTGTACATTTCTCTGATCAGTGACTTGAAAATAGTATTACCTGCTAAAACTAAAGAAGTAACACCTCCCACCCAACCATCTCTGCGACTGCCCAAATTTGAGTTGCCCAAATTCAGCGGTAACTACGAAGAATGGGTTAGCTACTACAATATTTTTGAGGCTTCTATTAATAGGAATGAAACTTTGGCCCCTGTGAGTAAGTTCCAATATCTGCTTAGTTCTTTAAGTGGTGAACCCTTAGATTTAGTAAAGAGCTTAAGCATAACTGCAGAAAACTTTGATGTTGCACTTAGGCTGCTTAAGGATCGCTATGATAATAAAAGGCGTGTTGTAACTCAGCTTGTTACAAAAATCATTGATTTGCCATGCATAAGTAGTGGTTCTCTCAAAAGTCTCCAACATTTTCTCACAGTTTATAAAGAGAACACTCAAGTTTTGAAAAATCTCAACCATGACATAACAGCTGAAAATACTCTGCTTGTCCTAACGCTTTTGAAAAAGTTACCTACTGATTTAAGAAAATCTTTTGAGGATTCTCGCATCACAAACAATGACATACCTGCAGTAAATGATCTAATTCAATTCCTTGAAAGAGAATTTAAACGATTAGAAGGAGCTAGTATCGGTCTTGGTCCCTCAGCTAACACAAGATACCCTTCAGTGCAAAAGACTCAATCTAATAGTTATAGGCCTAAACCTCTTCGAGATAGTAAACCTTACTCCTCTCAAGCTAAAACAGCTTTCGTCACAGTGACTAACACTTGTAAGTTTTGTCAAGCATCCGATCACAATATATACAAGTGTCAAGCCTTTCAGGCTAAAAGTAGAGGTGATAGAGTTGAATTCACTTGTAAAAATAATCTATGCGCCAACTGCCTAGGCCATCTACATGATACTAATAACTGTCCTTCTCATAGAGTGTGTCGAATTTGTTCAAAGCGACATCACACTCTCTTACATGACTCAACTCCCACACAACAGCAGCCAAGTTACCCAACCAAGGTTTTTGAAAAAAAATATGGTAAGCCGCCTACAAATAACGCACCCCAAAGCCATGTCACCGCACCAGTGAATAAAAGTGCTCTTGTAGGATTGTCTAGCCAGTTAAACCCAACTAAAACAACAATTTTACTTGGAACATGTTTAGTTCAGGTGTTTTCCAAAGATGGTCAGCAAACTGTACTCCGTGCTGTGCTCGACTCTGCATCTCAACATACATTGATATCTGAAAGAGCTGTTCAGCTCATCAGTGCCTCCCGTACTCGAGCACATGATGAAATCCAAGGAATTTCTGGCTCACTAATTCATTCTAGAGGAATAGTGCACATTGATATATCTGCAGTTAATGGTCAACGCTTAGCCTACCATCATCCATGCTTGGTTTTGAATCGTATCACTTCACCACTGCCTCAGATCCCAGTCTCACCTCAAGTGAAGGGATCTTTAAATGATTTTGTTCTTGCAGACCCCTGTTTTGAAAAACCTGGAGAAATTGATCTATTGATCGGAGCTGATTTATTCGCTCTCTCACTGACTGGTGAGCAGCACTTCTTAGGCCATAACCTGCCCCAAGTTTTAGGAACTATATTCGGATTTGTTGTAATGGGTATAGCTCCTGTTGCTACATCTGAGTTATCAATCCCAAAAACTGTTTCTTTTCTCACTACACATGATGGAGACCTTCACAGTTCACTTCAAAGGTTTTGGTCAATCGAAGAACCCCCGACATGTGTCAAGACTCAGTCAGAAGAAGATGTTCTCTGCTTACAGCATTTTGAAAGAACCCATACACGTGATAACTCTGGTCGATATGTTGTTAAGTTACCGAAAAGACCAAATCATCCACTATTAGGTGAATCTTGTAGTACAGCTCAACTTAGACTTAAAGCGATGGAAAGAAAATTTGCTGCTCAGCCCGAATTCAAAGATTTATACTCTGAATTTATGGATGACTACATCAAATCAGGTCACATGAGTGCATGTGAGCAACCCCTTTCTGGTGAATGTTACTATTTACCCCATCATGGAGTATTTAAGGAGATTCCCCCTAATTCCAAAATACGAGTCGTATTTGATGGTAGTTCCAAAACAAATAATGGCGTCTCCCTAAACGATATCCTCATGCCTGGCCCTAAGTTGCAGAATGATATTAGTGATGTCTTGCTGTACTTTAGGTGTCACAAGTTTGTGTTCACTTGTGATATACGACAGATGTATCGCCAGATTCTGGTGGCTGAAGATGAAAAGAAATATCAGTTAATCTTTTGGCGATCCAACCCTGATGAATCCCTTCAAGTCTTAAAGCTACCGTCACCTACGGTCTCAACTGTTCCCCGTTCATTACGATCAGAACATTACAACAATTGGTCAAAGATGAGGGTCACTCATACCCCAAGGCGTCTGAGATTCTAACTAAATCAATATTTTATGACGACATCATCGCTGGAGCAGAAAGTCTTGATGAAGCTTTGTCTGCACAGAATGAACTCAAGAACTTGCTCACTAGAGGAGGTTTTGAACTCCGAAAATGGATTAGCAACGCACCCCAACTATTGGACCAAGTCCCAATTGAACACAAAGAGACTCCAGTGGAGTTAACTGAAAATAGTGAAGCCTTCTTCAGTGTCCTAGGTCTAAAATGGACTCCAGAGTCTGACATGCTTTCTTACAAGGTTAAGGATGTTGAAATAAGTGCTATACTTACAAAGAGAAGAATATTATCTACAATCGCTAAACTGTACGATTTACCAGGATTTCTTACACCCGTAATTTTCTGGGCAAAAACACTTATTCAGTATCTCTGGACAACAGGGCTAACTTGGGATGAACCTGTTCCAAATGATGTTAGAACCAAGTGGCATTCATTCTTAGAAGAACTCCCAATAATTCAAGAATTAAGAATTCCACGCTACATTTCTACTTCTCTGCATACGGCTGTGCAACTCCACGGCTTCAGCGATGCTTCAGAGAAAGGCTACGCTGCTGTTGTCTACCTTCGTGTCACTGACTCTCAAGAGAATACAAGGCTCTATCTCATCGTCTCTAAATCAAAAGTCGCTCCTTTGAAAAGAATTTCTCTGCCACGGCTTGAACTTTGTGGCGCTCACTTACTGGGAAAACTCCTTCAATATTCTTCAAACATACTCTCTGCTCATATGAAGATTGAATCAATCTATGCTTGGTGTGACTCCACAATTGTCCTAACCTGGATACGTACTCTTCCATACCGCTTGAAAGTCTTCATTGCCAATCGTATTTCAGAACTCCAAGAATTGGTCTCTCCTCACTCATGGAATTATGTCAAATCTCAAGACAACCCGGCCGATTGCGCCACTCGTGGTCTTTCACCCTCTCAACTTGTGACTCATCATTTATGGTGGAATGGACCGGAATGGTTACAGTCATCGTCAGATTCTTGGCCTAAGCCAAAATTCACACCTGTTATTGATGATGACACTCTTTAAATAAGGCCAAATCCTCTAAACGTTCTAGCAACCACAGAGAAGATTAAACTCACTGACTTTGATATACTAGAAAAATATTCATGTTTCAGGAAACTTGTAAATGTCATGGCATATATATTGCGATTCATTCATAATCTGCAAGCCAATGATCCCCGCATTGGACGACTTACTTGCCAAGAAACTTCTTCAGCGAAATTAAGAATTTTCAAACTCATACAAAATACATCATTTAAGGATGACATCTCTGCTCTCAAAAAGGGATCTCAATGCAGCTTAAAACTTGCTCGTTTATCCCCATATATTGATGACAGTGGAATAGTGCGAGTAGGCGGCAGGTTGAAACATTCCAACCTTACACAAGATACGGAACATCCAGTTTTGTTACCTAAATCTCACTGTACTGTCAAACTGTTGATTATGCATTATCACCTAAAGCATCTACACGCAGGCCCTCAATTGCTGCAGTCTATTCTGTCTCAAGAGGTTTGGATATTATCAGCCCGCAGCGTGATAAGATCTGTGATTTTCAAGTGTCAAAGATGTTTCAGACTTAAGCCTGTAAACAAACCTCCACTGATGGGAGATCTTCCTGAAACTCGATTAAAACCTGTAAGGCCATTCTATCACACTGGCATGGACTATAGTGGACATTTTGACATTAAAGTTCATTCAACTAGGAACGCTCAACGGTTAAAATCATACCTCTGCCTCTTTGTATGTTTTGCTACGAAAGCTGTGCACCTAGAAATTGTAACAGACCTATCTGTAGACTCCTTCATAGCTGCACTAAAACGTTTTGTTTCTCGTCGTGGATTGTGTGCCCACTTATACTCAGATTGCGGAACTAACTATGTTGGAGCCTCAAAGCAACTCATGAAAACTTTTCAGAATTTCATCAAGGAATCAAACACTAAAGATGCTCTTAACAACTTCGCGTTAGATCACTCAATAAATTTTCACTTTCAACCACCAGCCGCTCCCCACCAAGGAGGCCTATGGGAGAGTGCTATAAAAAGTTCTAAATATCATCTGAAAAGAGTCATAGGCGATAGAGTTCTAACACTAATGGAAATAATAACACTCGCCACACAGGTGGAGGCTGTACTCAACTCGAGACCTTTGACAGCATTATCCGCAGATCCATCCGACATCTCAGCCCTTACTCCGGGTCATTTTCTTATCGGCACTTCGCTTGTGGCAGTACCGGAACCAAATCTTGAAGAGGTTCCCGAAAATCGTCTCAACCATTGGCAAACTGTACAAGCCCTACATCAACGCTTCTGGCGACGTTGGCATCAAGAATATTTACATCAGCTACAACAAAGAAAGAAATGGGAAAAGCCCAACAAGAATCTAGAAGTGGGTGATCTCGTTATAATTCAGGACCCTAGAACACCACTACTACTTTGGCCTCTTGGACGCATAGTGAAGACTTCGCCTGGATCGGACGGCATCGTCCGAGTTGTCACCATCAAGACTCAGCGGGGAACCTTCTGTCGTCCTGCTACCAAGGTGTACCCGCTCCCCTGATCTCATTATCAGACCAAACAAAATGTTTATTCTATTTTCAAACATATTTCTATTTTCAATGTATATATATTTAATCTATGTTTCTTATATTTCAATGTCAATCTTTATTCATTATGTGTCACTTTGTAACTTTCTCAATGTTTTGAACCATGTACGGTTCAAGGCGGGCGGCATGTTCCGTATTCAAGCGCTACCAAGATATTTCCAGACGTTTCATATCATACAATAACCTTTGTCCTGTCACGTGATGTCTGGAAACCCCAATCTCGCCCCAGTTCTCTTGCATTCATGCAACTACTAACATGTCCCCGGCACAATTAACTCACAATTGCTGCTCTCATCTCTTAACCCCAAAGTATATTTAATTATTATTAGTGACACATATTAAAAGTGAACTATTGAACATTTGTGAAGTGAAACACTACTACTGCCGGTCCGGGTCTGTGTACGAGCAATACGCAATAGCTGGCCAGCAGAAGAAACTCGTGTACGTCTACCGGCTTCGTCTTCTCAACACTTCAGTTAAAAGGAAGGTACCTCATCAATCTCATTATTGTCTGTTAAATAATTAGTGACAATTTTTTAATATTGCTCTTTCACTATACAGTCCATTTGAACATTTTTAGGCAAGTTTACCCCCCATCCGCTAATAAAATATATTTAATCATATCAAAACGCTTTGATTTTATTTTGATATTATTCTATTCTTCCTTTGCATAGGATATACAGTAGCTCACAGATACATCAAATGCAAAAAGGTAATTTATTTTGTATAAAAACAATAGCTTTTAATTTTCCACTGAGTCCATCTATGGTTCTACTATCCCAGTAAATAGGAAATTAAAATTGTATTCTGTAAACAACTATTTTATATAACTATTGGAACAATAATGCTGTCTCAAAAATTAAAAATTAATTAATAAAGAGATTATCGTGTTTTAACCGTCATTGCTGTATTACAATTTTTACAATTATTAAAATCAAGACATTGTTTTTGTACTCCTTTACCAAGCCATTCAGACTATTTTAGAGTGCCAAGTAAGATTAGAGAACACTATAAATGAATGGTGTTCCCGCAATATGGACCGTACATCTAGCACAAGATAACATTGTAACTGAATTGGATTAATTCGTATCACGTTTTATTCCCTAGAGTGGAATCATTTCACATGCCAAAGCACGTAAGAGAAATTCATTATCCTACTTTAAATTCTGTTGTCTGCTACTTCATATCGAACCAATAACTGAACAGATTATTCATTTGTAAATTATGCTCTAGGCTATGTTTTTTCCTTTTTTTACAGATATTTTATTTAACTAAAAACTTTAAGCCCGCTTATTGGGGAAATAATTGTAAATACATTTGTTAATAACGGATTGTGTTTGACCGCGCAAAAGAGTGTTGTTATCCAATAAAATCTGTATTGTGTAAATCAGCGTTGATTGGTTCAAACCGTTCGTCGAGTGTATGGGAATCGGCTTTAGTACCCATTGAACAGATTTAGAACTAGTAAATTCATCATTTAACCTTTTTTTTTACTCAAGTAACATGCACCTACAATTGGAACATTTTCTCTAAAATTTACAACTTTAAAAGTCTTTTTGTATTTGTATTGTTAATTAAGGAAAGAAGTAATAGTGTGGGTTGGTGTGTTGTAATACATAGGTTTCGTTTTAGGTCTAAGTAAGTTGAATGCGTAGAAAAACTTTATCGATTGCTGGTTAAACTGATATTATCTACACGTGATGTTGTGTAAATTTAATCACTATTTGTAAGATAATGGAAATAGTAAAACTTGAAATAAAGGAATATTTTTAATTTACTCTTAGAACCTAGAATTGCTAGAATTGCTCTTAGATTAGAAATAGCCATTAAGTACCTCCTAACCGTTTAAGAAAGTGAAAATGTTGGCGAGGATTGATGAAAAACACATATTAGCAAGTAGACTAGTATTAGATAGACAGAAGGATCAATTAAACATTTGTCAAAAGACTAAAATTTAAGGTACATACCTTCACGTCCACAGTTCATATGAAGGTATGTACCTTAAAGTTTAGTCTAATCAACAGTTCAGGGACTACACAGTGAATGTTTAAATGTCAAAAGGAAACATTTTACAATTTTTTGCTCTACGACCAAGTCTGTTTGTCTTTCTGTCTTACTAGCAAATTACAAAATGCAAAATGTTTAATGAAATTCGTTTTTACTACTTAAGTTCAAAGAAATTCAATTAGAGGCATTGCGTAAGAAAAAGAAACATTAGTTGTATCAGTGCCAACAGGAAATCTTGGGTTAACTGTTACTGGTAAAACAATAAAATAAATTGGAAGATTATTTGGCAAGTTGCCTCTTCTGTTTTGTGAGTCTTCTGCTTTATCCAGGCCGATTTAACACAAATGGAAACAGAGGATTTCAATTGCATTTGGTATATTTTATTTTTAAGATAAAAACTATGTTTTTTAAAAGGCGTTTCCACTTTTTACATTTAAATATATCATTAATAAAAGTTTTATCGTTTAGAATATTTGCTTATTTTTACTATGTTTAAACAAAAATCACCCCAGTTATACAATGATACATAGGTTGTATTATCATTCATTGATAATAATAATTTTCAATAAAATAAAAACAAATTTTTTTCTTATTAATACTCTCATTAGTTTCAAAACAGGCAAAGGCAATTGTTTAAAGTTGTTTTCTCCTTCAAAACTATGTACTATCTAGTAGATTATAAAAAAAAAAATTATACTGTATCTATTTTAAATGGTAATGGATTTTTTTCATTAGTGTATGCTTATTTAAATTCTTTGTAGCAAGGTTTTCAAAACTATGTTATTCAATAAACCTAATAATTATAAAATTATTACTTGAAAAAATACACAACAAAAATTATTAGTTAAGACCTTATTTTAAATCAGTAGACTGTTTAAGTAGACTGGTTAGCTTGCAAACATTCAATGTATTACTAAAAATAAAATTTAGGATAGAAAATATCTATGTAATATATTTTGTATCCAAATGACATAAGTTATACAGGATACAAACATTTCTTCTTTTATTTTTTCTTTCAAGTAATAACAATCAACTATTTTTCTCTTAGATCAAAAAATAACTTATCAATTATATTTTTGGATTGTATAAATAGGCACATAAGAACATTTTAATGATGATTCATCCCATATTTGAAAGAAGTTTTCATTATTAATTAGATCACTGGTACATATCCCGGGGCATCTCACAGTATGACCTCAATGTATAATTCCTGAGAGAAGTCTGATCACATTAATTTACCTCCCCTCATTATAGTTTTACGTTACACATTCGAAGCGAATCAATAAAGACTCGAACATTACAATAATTGTGAATTTTACAAAAACCTGCAAAACCTAAATTTGATTTCACATATCTTTGTGTATGGTATAATATTATTGAACAACTCTATTTAAAATTATGTATTAATAAATATTTT